TTCTTTTTAGCGTTTTCTTTGAAGTTTTTCAATGTCGTATTGTTATTGGAATTTTGTTGATCCCTTTTTTAACATTTTTGATAACTTGGTTAATTTTATTTTGTGCAATTTCTTGTCCCAGCTGTTTGAAATTGACATTTTTGATAATTCTGTTCTTGTTGTTTTCACCCAAGTTTGTAGTCCCCAATGTCTTATGTATGTTATTTTCAACTGAATTTGCCACCTGTGATATTTTGTTGTTCAAAAATGTGTTAGCGGCACCACTTATTTTGTTAACTGTATTTGTATCCAAACCAACTGTCTTACCCAAATTGTTGATCATTTGATTGTTGTTGACAACTTCTCTCAATTTCTCTTCACCATAATTCACCGCCTTATTTACTACATTTCCGCCGATGTTTTTAAAATCTGTGTTTTTCAGCTCATTAATGTTCTTTTTGACATTATTTATTTCATTTTTAACTCTGTTTTCAATTACGTTTTTAGCTTTATCAAAATCTCCATTAATTACATTTTTAGCTGTTTCTTTTAAAGTAATACCAACCTCTTCAACTTTGTCTTTTGCTATACTTGTAGCTTTTTCTTTTATTTGTTTTGATATTGCTTCTCCAAGACCCATTTTTTCACCAGCCATTTGAATTAAATTGCCACCTTCATTTACTATTCCATCAACTCCTTTATCAATGACATTTGATACAGCTTGATTTGCAGTATTTTTAGCGTCCTCTTTTATTTCATTTAAAACGTCTTTGGGGTCCATTCCCTTGAATTTTCTAATTTCATTTTCTTTTTCTTCTACATATGTTGTTCCAATGATTGGGTGGTCAAATAAATTGGATTTTAATATTTAGTAATTGAATAATTTGGGATTGAATCTGTTTTAATTTTAATTCAATCACAATTCAAAAAAGTTCAACTTGCAATTTTAGATAAAAACATGTTTCTATGTATATTTATAGAACTTGAAGATGTTTATTTTTTATGGGAAAGTCACACAATAATTATAATTAATTTAAATTTATAATAAATATAATTATTTGTAAAATAACAAAATTACATATATAATATTATAATTAAAAATATGAAATAAAGAAAGTAACAATTAACAAAATACCA